CATACACGCACAGCCGTTACGGGTAAGATGACTACAGCTCCACTTGCTTGTTTTGGGTTGTTAAGGTTAGGGCTATGGCTATTCAAGTTTAGGATTTCACGAATTAGGGTTTAGGGTGTGCCTCCTCGTCTTTATAATCCCCCACGAACCTCCAAGTCAGCCTTCAATGCCGCCCTCTGCACAAGGATGGCATTGCCGAAGGAGTGCCGCCCTCAGTGACTTTTGGTGTTGTGTAGTGTAGTGTTTGGTTCAGGCATTCGAGACCCTAAACCTTAAACCTGTTACATCTGAGCCCGAAGCCCTGAATCTGAATTAATCCGAAACAGCTAAACCCCCAACCCCCGAAACCCTAAACCCCGAAACCATTTTGGCTCTGCGTGGTCTACAGCGCATGCATGCGGCACAAACTTTTTCACTTACACACCCGTCGCGTTGCAACACCGCATTACGTATACATCTTATTACTAGTGCAGTTCTAAAACTAATCTCATTACTAAGACGATTGCTATTGCTATTTGCCGCTGCTGTTCCTGTTGCTACTACTACAGTTATCACGACTGATATCGCTGCCCACTGAGGTATTTCTGATGAGATGCTGGAGTAAAGTTCGAGTCTACGCGCAGTTGCTTCTGCAGTTTCAAGTTTGCCACTGAGCCCCTCGGTAAAGCCATCCAGTGCATTCCGACTACCTTGCTAAACCCTACACCCGTGTCGCACAGCCTAAGAGGTAAATCCTCTTTCCAAGTCCAAAGCATTAACCCTAAACGCTGAACCGTTTCTCACCCTTGTACCGTCCGTGAGTGGTAGACGATTGCTTGGAAGTTTGGATTTGCAGTCCTTTGGGATGTTGAAGCGCATGCAGGAGTTAAGGTATAGGGCTGCGGAAGTATACCGGTCGTAGTAAGTTTTCGAGGAGCCATTTAATGTCGGCTAAGGGCTGCAAGCCTAAGGCATCTACCGTCTTTGGGTGCAGGTTGACACCTGGACCCACAGGGAACCAGTGCTCAGCCTTGCCGAAAGGGAACTGCGCCCGAGTTCAAAGCCTGTCTAAACCGGATTCCGAAAGCCTAAGCCTTAATCCTGAAGCCTAGACACGGACATGCCCAAGCTTCTGTAATGTAGGAACCTGATTAAGAAACCCTGGGCCTATAACACCAAAATAGTAGGGTTCACAAAAGGAGCCCTAATCAAGGCGCAAGGTTTCTTAGTCAGGTCCCTCTATTAAAAGCCTGAACCCTTAAACTTCTAAACCCCTAATACCTAAACCCTTATAGTACCCTTATAGATGCCTTGTAGATCCCTTTAAAGGAAACCTTATAGATCCCTTTAAAGGGCCCCTTATAGATCCCTACATTACCCTCAATCGCTCACCCTTGGAGCCGAAATTTGAGGCTTTCTTCGAGCAGACAGCCCCGGTGACCATTGTAGCTACCCTCCCTGTGAACAACAACCTGAAAAGGTTTAGGGCTTTGGGCTTTAGGCTTAGGGTTTAGGGTTTAGGGCTTAGGGTTGAGGGTTTAGGGTTTAGGGTTATTCCTAAGGCTCAAAATGGCCCAAAAGCCTTATATGGTATGGTCTTTGGGTCCAAAAAAGCCTTAAAATATGAGTCCTTAGAGCCTAAAGGTATAAATCTTGTATGATCTTGTATGTTCCTTATTTTGATTTGCTGATATAAGTTCATAAAAGGTTAGTTATTTGGCATTAGGCTAGGGGATGTAACATTCGGATCCCGATGCTTACAATGATTGCGGTTGAGGCTTCTCAACCTTCGCCCCTGCTTTTTTCGCCCCCTAAGCTGAAAGCTCAGAGAATAGCTTAGGGGGGTTTAGTTTTCGGGATTTACGGTCGGAGGGTTTCGGATTCAGGATGTATAGAGACTAATGTAGATTGCGTGGCATAGGGCCTTAAGTGTCAGACCCCTACCTTAAGCTGCCACTACTTTGCTTTCAGGCTCTTATATTACAAAACCCCAACGTCGACTTTGTAGGGCGCGCTACACACAAGCAGCTTTTTGCAGCTCAAAGTAAACCATTATCCCGAAGAGTCTTAAAACACTTGAACTTGCTATAGACTATAGATAGACTATAGAGGGTGTAGGATTTACAGGGTGTCTCTTCTTGTGAAGGAAGGTATGTTCCTTCATCAGTTACGCGGGGTTTCGGAGTCTTTAGGTCACCGCACGCCCAAGCATTCCAGAACGCAAACTTGGAGGGGCAGGGGACTTAGTAAGTAGGTTATAAGTAGAGTTATAAGTACCCTAAATGGAGTTACCCCAATTACAACCCTACTTCTAACCTACTTACTAAGTCCCCTGCCCTTCCAAGAAGGTGGACTGCAGGGGAGCGCCACACTTGCAAAGGCAGGTTTGGGGTTTAGGGTTTGGGGATTAGGGTACCCGGTTTTTTAGTTTATGGTCTCGGGGTTTTGGCTTTAGGGCTTTAAGGTTTTGGGCTTGGGGCCTAAGGTTTACGCCAGACTTGCAAAGGTAAGTCGAGGGGGGGCGTTGCACAGTGAGGTTTAGTTGGAGGATCGGGGTCGTAGTAGGTAAGGTTAACTAGGATGCCCTGTTGTACCCTTATTCCCTTTTTGTAGTCCTAGGTTCCTTGTAAAGTTACCCAATACCAAAAGGGAGCCCTTTCTATTCCTAGGTTACTGGGCATCCTAGTTAAAAGTATCGAATTGGGATTCCACGTTTAACTAGACCTTTATTTGCCTTGCTGACAATCCTCAGTCGCATGATCCCTTCAGTAACCAAACCTAAAAACTAAACCCTATGATCCCTTAAGTAACAAAGCCTAGACCCTAGACCCTATGATCCCTTCCGTAACAAAGCCTAAACCCAAAACCCTATGATCCCTTAGTAACACAGCCTAAGCCCTAAACCCTATATGATCCCTAAAAACAAAGCCTAAGCCCTAAACCCTATGATCCCTTAAGTAACAGGCTCCTGATTAAGGAACCTTTGTTCTTCGGTGCAGCCAGCAGAGGATCCTTCGTAAAGTCCCGGCTCAACCCTAAACCCTACCTGGACCCTGTAAAACCTTCCTGTTTAAGCTTCCTTACGTAATAATGGTTTCATTACATAAGTCCTATAGAAAGGTAGTTAAGGTAAACCCTAAATCAGGCGTCTACCCCACTCCACGACTCTCTGAAAAGATGCAGCTTGCCATGTCCTCATATTCTACTATGCTGCATACTGCACTGCATTACCATATACCCTTTTTCTCCTGATTGAACACGGAAGACCTGTAGCCTTTACTGTAGTTCGTTTGTAGGGTGAAGGCATTTTTATGTTCAAGACCCTGAAAAGTAACTTGGAAAAGGAATTAGAAGTGAAACTATAGGTAGTAACAAAACCTAAACCCTACAGCCTCAAAACCTAAACCCTCAAAACCCTAGACTCTAAACCCTCAAAACCTAAACCCTCAAAGCCGAATCCCTAACCCGAAAGCCGTCAAAACCCTAAACCCTGGACCTGAACCCTAAACCCCTGGACCCCCATTTGGTTTGGCGGACATCTGCAAGCTGCAAGGCGCGAAGGTGGCCTTGCTTGGGCCGTCCCTAAGAGGGTAACACCGGGGACATTGTGCTCCTTAAGGGTCCCTTTAAGGGAATCTATAAGTGTACTATAAGGGTTTAGGGTTTAGGGTCTACTTAAAGTATCATGGGACTTAGTAAGTGGGGTTATAAGTAAGGTAACTACAGTTATTATTGCATATAACCTTAATTAAGGTACTTATAACCCTACTTACTCAGTCCCACGATCCTTCAAGTAGGGTTTAGGGCTTAGGGTTTAGGGAATGCTAAATAGTCCCAAACCCAAAAGTTCTGAAATTTAGGGGTTCGGATCTGTAGAACCTAAACCCGTCATTCTAGGGTCTAGGGCTTAAACCTGAGCCCACAAACCCCAAACCTCAAACCCGGAATCCTCAGTCCTAAATTGCAACCCTATACAGTTACGGGGGTTCGACCCAAAGAGCGTGAGATTGCAGGGTTTAGGGTTTTAGGGTTTAGGGGTTTAGGGTTTGGGGGTTTATGTGTCTAGGGTCTAGGGGTTCGGTTAGGGGTTTAGGGCTTAGGTTTTTTCGGGTTTAAGGTTTAGGCTGTAACTGCGTACGGAAGTTGTGTTCAGATCCAGATTTTAGAGTGTCGGTTCAGTCGGGCTGAATGTAACCCCTGATTATTCACTCCCTTGTCTCGAAGACTCTAAGGCTGAGGGCCCTTGTACTATCTTGACAATCAGCGGTCTAAATTAGTATTAAACCCTAAAACACTGCCGCATTAACCTCAGAACGGAAAGCCTAAGCCAGGCCTGTGATTACTATCCCAGACGGTCCACAAACAACTGCCATTATGGAATTAGGTCCCAAAAGACCACATTCCCATAGTGGTTTTGGGGTCCGCTAATTTCATAATAGCAGATTTTCTGGAACCTCTTGGAATCTTAAACATCGGAAAGACATGGCCTGTGGGATGGCGATCCCGGCGATTAGACGCTCGGGGCACCGCGGGACGAGTGTTCTCAACTGGCTCACGAACTTTGTTTGCTGGGCATGTGCATTGTTGCAGAACCCGCAGTTGGCGTGTGAAGAGAGCCGCAGATTCTTGGTTTGCGTCGACGGCGTGACCAGGTGGATCGTCTTCTGCTTCGAAGGGGACGACTCGATTCTTGCGTTGTGTCCACCCATTGATGAGAAGGAAAGCGTTTACATCCAGGCTTTGCAAGCCTCGGAGCGGTATGGATACAGATGCGCGAGGACTCACCAATCATAATCACGCTTTTGCATTGTGGTCCCTCTAAAGCCTTAACAAGCCCTACACACCCCTAAACCCTAAACCCTAAAGCCCTAAACCCTAAAACCCTAAACCCTAAAACCCTAAACCCTAAAACCCTAAACCCTAAAAAAGGGCTCACAAACAGAAGCCTAAAATCGCTCCAGGGATCGGATGGGTCAAGTTCGACCCCTCTGTTCGCCAGAAGCAGCTGGCGCATCCACTGCATGGCAGCTTGACCTCTGGTGGTGTTTAGGGTTTAGAGGTATGGGATCATGGAACCGGGTTTAGTGGTTGGTGTGACTTATGGGATCATTGAATCGGCTGAGGAGCAGGGTTTGCGTTTTAGGGTTTAGTAGATGTTTATAGGCTCATTGATATAGCATCTGATGTAGTAGGGGTTTATGATTTAGGGTCTAGGGTTTAGAGTTATGGGATCATTGAATCGAGATAATTGTTTAAAGTTACGGGATCATTGAATCGGGCTAGGATTAGGGTTTAGGGTTTCGGGGTTGTAGGGATTGAGGGTTGGGGTTTGTGGGCTTCTGTGTCTTGCTTGGCCTGCGGGGTTTTGGGTGTAGGGTTCAGGGTTTCCGGGTTTGGGTTGTTTTGGGGTGTTGGGGGGCCATCCCTGGGGTGTCGGGTTATTCGGGAAACCGCGGAAGCACAAGATTTCAGATCACAGGACCCTAAACCCTGAACCCAAAACCCTAAACCTTAGAAGCTGCCCCCACCCTGTAATAGCGGCTATAAGGATTATAAACTAGGGCCTTCTATTTTTTCCTATTATACCTTAGAAGCTGCCCCCACCCTGTAATAGTGGTATAATAGGAATATAATAGGGCCCTAATATAATCCTATAAAATCCTTATGGTCACTATTACAGGGTGGGGGCCCCTTCTAACCTAAACCCCTAAGTCCTAGGCCCCCCAAATCTTCGGCCCGGGCTCGCCACTTAAGTAGCGTTTAAGGTTTAGGATGTAGGGGCTTAGGGTGTAGGGTTTAGGCACTTTAAATGAACTACGGTTTAGGGTTTAGGGTGTGCGTCAAGCACAGCACCCCCGAACCCTTAAGCCCCTTACAAATGGCATGAAGTACGCCATGCGCGTGATTTTCATGTTTGGGCAAGTGCTCATTCGGGGAACCATCAACTGGTCGAAGGTCGTCCTTCGTACCCAGGCTGTATGCCCTCATGGCTCTTGTGGCGACATGGATCACGAGGAGTTGTTGCGCCTGACTTGTTTGCGGGTACTTCCGATAGGTCGTTGATGAGTCTCCTATATTTGCCACTCATTGCTGCTCCTGCCAGCGGCCGTCCCATCACCTTTTTGTCTTTGAAGGACTTACATTTCAGGCCCACTCTTGGGTTTAGCGACCAACAGCGGTGTTACCGGGTTGGATCCACATGTTGCCGAGGCTTTCATCGTATTGCTTTGGATGTTTCACTGATGCGGACTGTCGCCCATGACTCGAAGTCAATGAATCTCCAAGATGGTCCTGCTCCGGCAATGTTTGCCCCTTGGCTTCTTCGTCGCGATTTCGTTGATTAAGTGACTGCTCAGAAATCTGCACATAATAATAGGTTCGCGTCATTAGGTGTAGCTATATCCTCCAAGTAAAGCCCGAAACCCTTAACCTTAGATCCAAAACACCCAGAGCCTCTGAGGTGTCCTAAGCCCAACAGAAAGTGTAAGGACTGTTCTGGCGTGTATAATACAGTAGTTTTTGAAGGATCCAGGTACGTAGTGAATCTTCCCAAGCCACAGCAGTCCCCTCTCAAGCCCATTAAACACGTGAAGCCCAAAACCCAAATCCCAAATTCAAATATAAGGGTCGGAACGCATCCGACATATTATCCCGTTATCGTGCTCGTGTACTACGACAAAAATTCTCCCAAACCGTATTCCAACTTTTGGCCTTCATGTGCAGCCGACCTACGCTGAACCAGAAGCCCTGCAAAGCGGTCTACTTGTTCCAGTACAACTCCCCCAACTATTTCATTTATTCAGGCCTTTGTGTGCAGACACCGTATACCATATCTGGACCCGAAAATTCTCTTTTTTCAGGACGTTCAGAACTTATAACCAACAAGCAAGGTTAGTTGGTTTTCAGGGTAAGCCCTGCAACGAGGTAGCGCCGACGCTCTGGGCTTCACTCCCCCGAAAGTCCGCTGTTTTGGCGCTTGGCTCAGTCCATGGCGGGCCGCTTTGTTTGTTTGTTTGTGTCGTCGTTGCATAACTTCGTCTTACGTGCGACTACTGCTGCATAACTACTCGTGTTTCTCACTGTTGGTATTTATCTCATTTGGCGTGGATTCGAGGCTTGCCCTAGCCCGAAGACCTCATGTGGCGATATTTGAGCATGCAGGTTCTGAGTTGCGGTTTGCAGGGGCAGCTGCTAGGGAATTCCACAAGGGTTGTCATGAGGATTTAGGGGGTGGGGTGGGGATTGGGGTTTAGGGTTATCTAGCATTTAAGATCTTAAAGAGCTTACATAGGGTGAAGAGATTTAGGAAATTTAGGGTTTAGGTTTAGGGCCTAGTCTGGGCCTGGTGGGATCAAGTCTTTGCTATGACTGCTGCTGCCCTCTCATCATCACGGCAAAGAGTCAGGACAAAGGTGTGGCACATGAAGCAGCACTGAACGTTGGGAAAACCGAGACGGGTTCTCGTAGGAAATTCAACTCCTGTCACGGGTCTGGGATTTGGGGTTACTTGGAGGGTCGGGAGACCTAGCAAGGAGTAAGTAGTAAGTAGGCAACAAGTAGAGGTGCAAGTGCCGGTGATGAGTACCCTAGAAGGTATCCTAATTGGGGTTATGATGCTTATAACTGTATAACACATCTACTTACTAAGTCCAGGTCAGCTCGAGCCGTGTATCTTAGGACTTTAACATGCCGGGTGTTCGTAGGATTCGTATTGAAAAACCCAACAGCCTGACCCTACAGTCTCAAGGGGTTCGATGTGCGTTCATGCAGAGGGTCGGGAGAGTTAGCAAGTACTTAAAGGATCCTGGGACATAGTAATTGGGGTTATAAGTACGGTAACTACAGTTATAATTACTCATAACCGCAATTAATGTACCTATAACCCTACTTACTAAGTCCCATGATCCTCCAAGTAGGTAACAAGCAGGGTCCTTCGTCCTATGTGCCCTGATGCTGAGGGAGCAGCAGTCGCAGCCGAGCTTCGCCAGATAGTGGTCCCAGCGAAGGCATCCGAAAAGCATTGAGCTGCACAAAACCCTAAACCCTAAACCCTAAACCCTAAACCCTAAACCCTAAATAGGGTTATGGGAAGGGCTCCCTTGGGTTAGGCGGGGTTCTTATGAAGGAGGGTCCTTCGACATCTTCAACTGGTCAGGGGTCTGGGAGTTTCAGGGTTTAAGCGGTGAGGGGGTTTCGGGTTGATATTTCCCGGAGCCCCCGGGTACTGAAAGGATCATGGGACTTAGTAAATAGGTTATAGTTGGGGTTATAAGTTCCCTAAGTGGGGTTATCCTAATTATAACCTACTTATAACCTTATATACTTACTAAGTCCCATGAGCCTTGAAGTACTTTAAAGGAACCCCCATTAGAACCCCCGAAGGACCTTGATCGAACCCTGCCATGGGACCCTTACTGAGCCCTTACGACAGCCTAAGCCCTAAACCCCATAAACCCAAAGCCCCTAGACCCTAAACCCCTAAGCCAGACCCTGAACCCTATGTCCCCCGAAGCCCCTAAAGTAAAAGCCAGAAAGTTGGAATATGATTATCCTAAACCTTTTATGGTAAATTACAAGGTATCCTACCCTGAAACCATATTCCAACTTTCTGGAGTTCCCTTTAAGCCCCCTAAGCCCCCAGACCCTCAGTCCCTAAACCTGTAATAACTCCCACAGCGGATCGCTTTGCAGGTAGCGAGCAGCCCGAGGATGGCTGGTCCCAGGTGCGTGCGACAGATACTGCAGTGGTGTAGGTTTGGCGTTTGAGGCTCAGGGTTTAGGGTTTGGGGCTTAATATTCAGGGTTAGTAGGGTGCAGGGTTTAGGGTTCAGGGTTTTGTGTTCAGAGTCAGGTTGGAGGGTTCAGGGTGTAGGGCACGGGTTACCGAAACCTTAAACTGCAATTGGGCTTCTAACGTTCTTAAGGACTATCCATCTTCGTGGTGACGTTTAGGGCTCAGGATTAGAGCGCTTCCGCGCGGAGATGGTTCCTTTCCACCGATGCCTGTCGTCCCTGTTGACGATCCTGAACACAGGGAAAAGTGAGTCAGGTCTGCTCCAGTCTCTAAGGATGAGATCATGAGATTCTCATGGCCACGGTCGCAAGGCCTGTTGGTAAGAAAGAGCTGATGCAGAATCCCAAGGCTCAGGCTTCGATTGATGTTGAATGGGATAACACAGAGGGTCCATATACACTACCATTATGGAATTAGATCCCAAAAACCACAATAGGGATGGTCTTTTGGTACCTGATTCCATAGTAGTAGTGTTTGTGGACCCTCTGCGTAAGCTAATGAAGAAAAGGGCTTGGGATACGGAATCCGTGCGCGAATGGGCAAAACGTGTCAGGCGATGCCCGAAGGGCCGAGGGACGATGTCCACCTGGATATTGGGTGACTTAGTAAGCAAGATTCTTAGTAATCCCTAGACCCTAGACCCAACTCTAACCCCTAAAACTCAGAGTTGCGGGACTTCTCGTTCGGAAGCTCTAAACCCCCAAACCCCAAAGCCCCCTAACCTCTAAGCCCTAAACATGTCCTTCGGGGGGGTCCTTCAGTCTTAGGGCCACTGGACTTCGACCTCAAGAGCCTTCGACGGTCTTGCCCGAAGGGTTTAGGGTGTTTGAGGTTGAGGGTTTATGGTACTTGGAGGATCATGGGACTTAGTAACTAGGGATCTAGGGGTCCCTTTTAAGGGATCTATAGGGGGTGCTATAAGGTTTTAGGGTTTAGGGTCTACTTGGAGGATCATGGGACTTTGTAAGTAGGGTTATAAGTACCTTAATTGGGGGGGGGGGTATAAGTACTTATAAGTGTAGTTACCTTACTTATAACCCCTGCTACTAAGTCCCATGATGCTTTATGGTCATGGTGAACTCCACAAAATTTGAACATGTGATAGGGATGATCCATGCTCGCGTTCCAGCTTTCAGGTGGAGACCACCACATGGGCCTTGGTCTGTGGGGGGCAGCTGCGAATGATGACGCCGAGGCCGACCGCAACCCGTGGTTAGAGTTTAGGGCTACGGGGTTTTGGGATTAGGGTTTAAGGGTTTAAGGGTTGAGGGTTTTAGGGCCTAAATTTCAGGGTTTTAAGGTTTAGGGGTGTAGGGCTTAATTAGGGGTTTAAGGGTCTAGGTTTTGGGGGTTTGGGGCCTAAGGTTTTGGTGTTGACGTTCAAACTTTCGGAGCTTCCGGTTCAGCATTGCTCCCAAGGGTCAATGTACGTATATACAACAGACTTTGACCGTATCGCATCTGTACAAGAAGCCCCGTATGTTCTATGAGGCTACTCGTTGCTTGTTTATAGTTTTAATGATCGCTTTGTTGGGGTTTGTTTTAAAGGGATCTCCACAAGCTATACTGTTGGCGCTTGAATAGTATCTGGCTCCCAGTTCCCATAGAAGTTAAGGGTTTACTGGTTCCAGATGATTTGAACTATTTCTCGAGGCCCTGTAGGCATGTGTATCACATGTCTTTCGTCTGCCAAGTACCTTCCATCGAAACCGTATTCACAGAGCAAACCCGAAGCATATGGAGGGTTGAGGCCCGCTATAGGGGGATCCTTGTGGCTAGGGCCTAGGGTTCAGTCAGGATCTCTGGTGGGTCGTGGTTCAGGGATTAGGGTTTAGGGCTGTGTCTGGAAACTGGCGTGGGCGTGTACTACAAGCACGAGACCAAGTATTGGCAAACCATCATCCGAGCTGAGTAATGGCGTTCCTTGGGATTTCGTGAGGTACACTTTTTCCAGGTGAAGGCCTACTACTGGGCATACGTGGAACTTTTGGCGGAGGACGGCTCTGCTTTCGCCGGATTGCAACCCAACGGATGTGGGCGAGTGACATCGAGATCATGCATGATTTTGCTGCCAGTCCTCTTTGCGGATGAATAACGGACGATCCTACAGCACACAACAATCCTTGTTGAGCAAAACAGGTCCCAGCAGTCATGGTTGTGGTGTTTAGCGCTATATGTATTGCCAGTAGTGCGGAGTTTCGGTTCGGTTCGGTAGCCAGCCACGCCCCTCCAGCCACCCTCCAACTGCCTCCAGCTACCAGGCGTCCAGCCCAGCTTCCCGAAAATCAGACCATATTGTGGGGTCCTTATAGTAAGGATCCTACTATTAGGGTACTATATTAGGGTCCCCTATTTTCTCAACTTCCAGCCACCACCCTCCTCCAGCCACGCCTCCCCTCACCCACCCCCTCCAGCCCCTTCCAGCCGCCTCCAGCCACCAGCCCCTTCAGCCACGCTTAGCCACCTGAAAGGGGGGGCTGGCTGCTGGCTGGGCCAGCCTGTGTGGCGAGGGCAGGCTAGAGGAAGGTGACTGAGGCAGGGGGTTGGTGGAGGCTGGAGGGTAGGTTGGGAGGCTGGTGGCGGGAGGGCAGGCGGTGGCTGGAGGCAGTGATGGTTGTGTGGGGTGTGGCTGGTGGTGGGATGTTGCGATATTCTGTGGTGGTTCGGTAAATGGCCGCAGAATCAGCGATACAAACGGTTCGGTCAGCGATGCTCTGCGGTATGCGATAAATGTATTGTTGAAACAGCCATGGTAGTGTCCCCTCAAGCTTAGCTTGGCCATGAACTAGGATTCCCAGTAGTACCCTTCTTCCCTTTTTGTGGCCCTAGGTTCCTTATTGAGGTACCCAATACCAAAAAGGGAGCCCTTTTTATTCTTAGGTTACCCATACGATACCCTCGGAGGTATACGGACCAGCACACACATCAAAGATAAACTGCTGTAACCTGCCTGGCGCCTTGCGGGGACATTGCCTTACGACCTGTCCTTTTGGGGCCCCTTCATGGGACTCAGAAATTGGGGTTATAAGTAATGTAGCTACAGTTATATTTGCTTATAACCCGCGATTAAGGTACTTGTAACCCTACTTACTAAGTCCCATGATCCTCCAAGTAGGCTTTTGAAACTTAGGAACTGTAGCGGGTAATCCGGATTTTCAGTCTTGCGGAGTGCAGGCAGATCGTAGTCCAGGGCTACGCAAACGGATCGCGACATTCGGTTTGAAGTTTGCGGTGTAGGGTGCCCGTGGCTCATCTCATGTAGCCCTGTATGTAGTAGGTGGCTGTCTTTCTGTTTTTTATCGAACCACGACGCGACCATTTTGCAGGAGTGGCTGTCTTTTTGGGGAGACGAGCCGAGACCCATCCGACATTTAGAATATAGTTCGGCCTTAGAGGGGTTCCTATAAAAGGTACTTTAGGGGCCAAAGTTTATACCATATGCATAGTAGTAGAGTAGGGAGCCTTTAACCTTTTTGGGGTAGAATAATCCCTATATAATCCCTATATAACCAGAAAGGTTAACCTTTAGTTCCCTATGATACCGGACAAGTAAGTTATAAACCCTAAACCCTAAAACCCTAAACCCCTAAGCCCTAAACCCTTAAACCCCTAAACCCTGAATTACTAAACTTCAACTCAAGTATGTGCAAGGCCAGCTTCAAGCGACAAGGAGAATGACTTGCCAGATCCTTCATTGCCCACTCTGTGGCAGTGCTCAGGCAGTAGTTCAGGATGTTGTTTAGGGTTTAGTATTGAGTTGCTTCGGGTTGGGGGTTTTGAGGCGTTGCAGTTCTTCCATGTAAAAGTTTCAAAATCCGTTCCTGAATTCATGCTTGTCGGATGCTTCGCTCATTTAGGGCATCGGGGTTGCCTGTGTTCGGACCGTATGGCGCAGCATGGACTCCATTCTTGGAAAGGGGGAGGGGCTAATGTAGAAGCTTGAATAATTCCCGATACTATTGTTGAGGGTTCCTTATTCCGCTTATGGAATCCTATAATTGATTACCCACCCCACTTCTAACTATCAAGATCACTACCTTAAGGACGAAATGAAGCCCAAAAGGGTTTAAGGTTCATATATACCATATAGGGATTCATGCTATATATGGTACAGGGCCCTAACTTTCAAGGGTCATTTGGTCCTTCAGGTATATCAAATCCACTTGTTCTCTAATCCTTGACGGTTTGCCGTCTATAGCCAGCTCTGTGGAGGCGGTGGCGCCCTAAACCGTGAACCCTAAACTAAACCGCAACCCCAAGCCGTTAACCCCGCAACCTTAAGCCCTAAACCCTTAGACCCTGAAACCCAAGCCCTAGTCCCTAAGCCCTAAACCCTAAACCCGAGAAGACGCTCAGCAGCAAATCGTTGACGATGCCGGGCTTGGGAGCGACACCGTTAGTGATGATTCCATCGATGAACGTATTTGCTGTTCACTGCAGCGACGGAAGCCCGGCTGGTCCAGGTGATGTTCGACCCATGGAGGGAGGAGTACGTCGTCTCCAGGCAGATCAGAATCGAGGAAGAGGACCTCCCAGGCGCGTGCAGAAGCGAAGGCCCATCGAAAGGCGAAAGGAAAGGGCAAGGCTCGACCCAAAGAAACAATGCCGCACAGCGAGCTGCCGCATCTTGGGGATGCGGGAAGCTCATGGCAGTCGCTGCAGCGCGACTTGCTGCGCGACGGCGTGCAAGTCGTGCAGTTGGCATCGAAATGTTTGGAGCGGAGGAGGAGGAGTCCGCCAGAATCGTCCGCTCCTGTCTCCGCTCTGCATACCCGGATTCCGCACCAAGAAAGTGCGTCTTGGCGCTCGCCGTCGCCCTTGCGCCTTCTCTTGTCTTGTGGGGATGTTTTTTGTTCTTTTATTGTATTACTTAAAGGATCATGGGACTTAGTAAATAGGTTATAAGTGGGGTTATAAGTCCCCTAAGTGGGGTTATCCTAATTATAACCTACTTATAACCTTACTTACTAAGTCCCCTGCCCTTCCAAGTAGTTGGCTGACTTGCCCCAAGTCGCCTGCCTGCAGGGCCTCCAGCGCTGCTGCCGATGAGTCTACACACACAAAAACCCTAAATGCTAAACCCTAGACCTTAGAAGCTGCCCCCACCCTGTAATAGTGGTATAATAGGAATATAATAGGGCCCTGATATAATCCTATATACTCCTTATGGTCACTATTACAGGGTGGGGGCCCCTTCTAACCTAGACCCTTAAACCCTAAACCCCATAGATCCCTAAGCCCGAACTTAGATCCAAGGCCTTCCAGCCTTACTCCTTCATCCGTCAGATGGGCCCGGTATTTGTCTGTAGGATGCCGTGGGTTGGGACCTCGGGAGTCCGGAGCCAGAGAATAAAAGAGCCAAGCCACTCTGAAACCCCAGGGCTCAGAAAAAATGGGATCAGTCTTCTGGGTTTTAGGGTCAGGGTTTACATAGAGAGAGAGAGAGAGAGAGAGAGAGAGATGCGAGAGAGAGACAGAGAGGAGAAACTTATGCCCTTCAATCAATACCCTATAGCGAGCCGACGTGTTGAACCTCAAACTCTTGCAGGTGTCAGCTTCCGCATCGAAAGAGTTCCTGCAGACGACGTCGTTCATCAGCCGCAGGCACTTCCGTATGGTACGGATGCAGGTCTCATTTGCCCCAAACGGCGTGGTGGCACCATAGTACTTTGCAGCTTCGTACGTTGGGTGTAGAGAGGTCGCGTGTGGAAAGGGTTTTTGGTTGTAGGCTTCCTACGTATCTTCGAAAAGACGTTTAGTATTGCTTCCGGCGTATCAGGGCAAAAGTTGATTCACTCACGGTTACTTGTCAGGCTAGCGATGCTGTTCCATTTCTTGTATCTTCAGAAACAGGAGCCAACATGACATAAACCCCAAATCGTAGATAGGTAATATTTGTTCATTGCGCACCCCAACCACAAATACACCGAATATCAAGAAACGAAACCTCCTGCAAGACGTTTGTAAAACTGGAAACATATGGAACCTTTATACAAACTTCATGTGTACTTCTTAACCCTCTGTACTCCAAGCCGCATTCCCGAAACCCGTAACAAGAGACTTTGGCGGACTGAAGCAGGAGCGATTCAAAAAACACAACAGCCCTAGACACCCCATATAAGGCCCCAACCCAAGCAGACCCGAAACCTTAATCCCCCAAAAACCTGTAATCTTTGTGAGCCCTACAAACCCTGCCTTTTCAGCCCTGCACAACGTATAGATCCAAACCGAAGCATCCAAGCAGCTAGACCCTAACCCTAAACCCTCTAAAACTCGGCCCTACAAACCCTAAACCCTAACCCTCAACCCTGTAAAGACCCTTTAAAGCCCTCAACCCTTTAAATTCCATAAGCCCTATGATAAGCCTATATAGAGACCCTTTGAAACCCTAAACCCTATATGCCCAAGCAGGCAAGCAGCCAGGAGCAAGAGAGGCAGCTGCCCGCAGCCAACTTACAGGAGGTCCGTGCGGCTTTTGAAGGGGCCCGAGCCCACACCAAATGCTAACGGTTCAGGGGTTTAGGGATAAGGAGTTTAGGGGTTCAGGGGTTCAGGGGTTCAGGGGTTAGAGGTTTAGGGGTTTAGGGGTTAGGGGTGTGGGGGTTCAACGTAATGAAAGGCTAGACTCTGTTAGTAAGGCGTCATGCTTAATAAGCTTTCGGTATTTAAGGGCTATATCAGGAGGGCTAATAGGGACGGTTTACTAGCAGGCTCGGTTTAGCGTATGGTTTTGGGGGTTTGGGGGCCGGGTCGGTGTAAGTATCGACAAGTAAGGGGTTTGGGGCAGTTTATATTACCAGGAATTGTGGGTTTGTCGTCGGGTATACAGTTTTTTGTTGTTTGCGGGAAATGATTTTGTGTAGTTTCGGGTTAGGATAGGATAAGTGATAAAAGTTATCGAGAAATAATGGGTTTCATATGAGGGCTTATGGCTGGATGTTTCAAAAGTTGTGCTAGGGGGCCTGAATTTCTGGGGGTCTTTCAGATCGGTCGTTCGTCGTTCGCCCTGCTCAACCTGGTGGTCCTGGACGAGCTCATCATCTTCGGCTGGTGCCCCTTGCATGTTTGGGGTTTCGGTGGCAGTTCTTCTGTGCGTGCAGGAGGGCATTTGCAACTGACATGTCGTTCGAGAGAGCCCGTGTTGAGCGAGTATCCTTAAGCATTTGGCTTCAGACACTGCCGTGAGTGATAGGTTGGAAGGCACGTTCACATTTCACAGATTCAGATCTTTTCACAGATTGTCACATTGTCATTTTGGGGGTCATTCGGAATAGGTCGTTCGGTCTTCAGGCCGTTCGGTTTTTGGTGTCTGTTTTAGGGGTCGTTCGCATTTTGCGCACTTCGAATCATGGCCGGACGTGCTGGCCCCCGTCGTACGGGTGACGAGCCCGATATGCCGTACGAGGAATGCGAGCTGCCGATCGATGAAGGCCGTTTCTACCAAGGGCCGTTGCTGGTGGCCTACGGGGCGGAGGAGATGTACAACACCAGCGGCCGTTCGGGGGCCGTTCGTGCCTCGTCTCAAACTAATGTTTAAACACCATGCAGCCTTGGTGCGTGGGGGTGAGTTGGAGGTTTGTTTTGCATGATTCAGGTCAGAAGGGGCACAGCTGCATGCCTGCTCTGCTGAAGAAGAGATTCTACGACGTTGGCGGGACCCAGGTCCAGGTGGACGTTCGTGGAATCTGGGACTCGGACACCGCTGCAAGGGCGGCCGGCATTCCAGGCTTCAGTCTTAATCATGTCATGTTTTGCAGTTCGGCAATTTGGTTCAATAGTCAATCGTGGGAGGCAATCCGATGGTGAAGCTCGGGGCGTTCAAAGGGCCGTACAGCCAGGAGGAGTTCAAGCCCTGCTTTATCTTGCTGGTCGCCATTCTGGAAGGGCTGTTCAAGGTCGATGGTCGTTCGGTGCTGTCGGTCATTTGCCCCTGGATGCACATTATTTAATTAGGTCTTGGTGACATGACACTGTCGTCATTCGTGTAGTCTTGTTTGCTTTGGCTTGTCATCCGAGGTTCTCATGGCCGCAACCGTTCGGCGACCTTGGTCGTCGCTCTGAGTGCGTTGTTCGAGGTTCCGATGTGGCTCCCGAGCTACGGGGATGCCGCTCCGAGTCAAGAGTGGTGGTGCATCGCCTCTCTGCCGAACGAGATTCTCCAGCAGTTGGAGGATTGGCGTTCGGAGGCCAGGGGCGGGCCGTTCCGACATGGCAGGGCCGTTCCGGCGCCCCACACTCCACCGGGCCCACCGCCTGGCGGGCCTTATCATGGCCACGGGACGTTCGATCCCGCTGACTTGACGGGGGCCATGCCCTCGGTGGGGAACCCCCTGGTGGATGCTGCCCCTCGACTCAATTAAACATTTCAGCTTACGATTTTTTTATTTGTCTTCGTAATCCCTTTCTCAGGTTCGTCTGGACATATGGAAAGTGGCACCTGGGGTCCTTCTGGAACTAGACGAACTTCGTCTAGATGAAAAATGCATTCGGGCCTCTCGGTGGCAGTGGTCGTTCGCTTTAGCCGCAACAAGCACAACTTCCTGTGAACCGAAGCATCATTTAAATCATCATGACAGGCCGTCGCGAATATCGCTGGACATTCGGACGATGGGGCGAAGTTCGTGCGGGAGATCTTCCAGGTGTTGCAACGAAACTCGGCTTTGTGGCGTGAGGGCTTGCCACTTGTTCTTGCCATTCGTGTGCTGCCTGAATTCATTTAATATTTGACTCAGGCGAGAACCAGGCCGACCTCAGGACGTATTCCAACCCGTCGGCCGCGATCACCAGTGCCGTCCGTAAGGAGTTGGATCGCTTGAGGCCAGAGATTCAAGGTCTGCCGGGATCGTCGGGTCGCTCGGATTTCATTAGTTAGTTAGTTTGGACTTTGGGGGATGTGTGTGAGTCAAGTTGAATGCACTTTTGAATTCGAGGCGATCGTCCGGGCAAAGGCGGTCGTTCGTGGCATGCTGGCAAGGGCGGCGGGCACTACGACGACTATGATGCTCGCCGAGAGGAGGACCGTCGCCGTGACTTGCTTTTATTGGAGCTGCAGTTCGAGACTGACTGTCATTTGTTGGAACCCACTTTGCGACTGACTCAGGTTATGAGGCCTCTCGTCAATCGAGCCCTCCGCCGCTCGGTCGGGACTATCGTGACGAGCCCGATGTCTGGCGTTCGTACCAGACCCCGTACGATCGCGAAAGGGCCGATCGTGACCGTCGGGATCGCGAGGAGCGGGAGCGGCGTGAGGCCTACGACCGGGACAGGGCCGATCGTGAGAGGGCAGATCGCGAACGGGACGATCGCCATCGCCGTCACTATGACGACGAGCGGATCTCGGACCCTGGACACCCAGGCCGGCCGATTCCGCCACGTTGGTGGGACCGCCGTTCGGAGGAGCCGGCTACTTGACTGAAGGTATCTGCATGCCTGCATGTTGCATCCCTATTATATATACAGCATGAAGCTAAGGACTTTCGCCGTCCCCGCTATCACGATCGCCGCTAGGTCGTTCGGTGGTCGTTCGGAGTGCCTCGGTTTCTTTATGTGTCACGATATTTTGTGTGCGTGTGTGTGTGTGTGTGTGTGTGTGTGTTTGAACTTGCAATGCATTGCATCATCTCAGGTGGCCCCATGGACTATGAACTCCCGGCATTTTGCCACAGCGGCCGCCGTTCGGGAGCCAGTTTTGCCTGGCCGGAGTTGCCTGGAGGGGTGGAAAAAAGTTGCTGTGGGTGCTTCAGAGTGTGCTCGGTCGTGCATTGCGAGCTCTGTCATGCTGCCATCGCTTTTCGTGCCAGGTGCTGGACGTTCGAGCTCAGGCGTGTGCCCGGGGAGTTTTAGTTTCGGCGTTCGGTGGGTTTCGTCGTTCGGTGAAGTTCTGTGGTTCCCGGGGTTTCTGAGTGCGAGCTGTGTGCGTGCCGAGTGCTCTGCATTTCCCACTTTAAATAGTAATGATAATAATAACAATAATAATAGCAATATTAATATATCAATTAAAAAGCCCTGACACCAAAACCCAATTAAAGATCCAAATAACAAAACACCACACCACAACATCATTCGCCCGGACACTACCAATTTATTTACATAATGTAAACAAAGCCCAAAACCAGCCCATAAAAAACTAATAAGATAAACCTCAACCCTGAATACCCGGAACCCCAAAACACGGAGCACCAAACCCTATATCCCAAACACCTTACCCCAAATCCCAAACTCTTCTAAATTCTTGTTACGATAAACAAAACCATCGCCCTTAACTTTCACAAAAAACTTACACAAGCCCCTGCACCCTTTCCCTATATCTCAAACCTGATGAAACTTTTTAATGTACTTAATGGCACTACAATATTAAACTCGGGAGGTACTACTACATCACGGCCGTTCGGAACGATGCTGCAGGGTCGCTCGGGAGGCTGCTTTGGTAAGGTTTAGTTAAATTTCGGGCATAATAGCTTAAGCCTTAAAGTGAACACCTTAAGCCCAAAGCTCGAGCCCTACATTGTATCCTGAATCAGTAGCTCGAGTTATCATCGGATCTCCTAGTCAAGAGCCACAAACGGAGTCGTTCGAGTCTAGGACAGCAGGTGTAATTTGTCGTTCGAATAGGAAAGGTTTCCCACGAAAGGACACATCGGGTTTGGGTTTGAGTCGCATTGCAAAGCCCAGGGTCAGTGAGTACCGGCGTTCGGTGGTGTTTCATTCTCAAGGGTAGCAAGTGAGATTCACCTAGTTCGTTGGCAAAAGTCCAGCACTCCAGACTCCTGGCGGTCGTTCGTCTCGTCGTTCGTCGTCGTTGGTCGCTAGCATGGTTGCCAGGGCCAGAAGGACCTCCGGGGCGAGCGACAAGAAGGCGACGGCCGCCAAGAAGCAGCAGGAGAAGGCAGCCGCTCGGAGACGTGTGAAGGAAGCGAAGATGCAGAAGAAGGCGGAGAAGACGTTCGCCAAGAGCATGGCCACCTTCGCTGAGTCGTCGTTCGAGCGAGCACGGGCGTTCGTGGACTCGGCACTGGATGACAATCCTGGGTGGGTCAGGCCGCTCGCGGACCTGATTCGCGACGGTGCCCTGCAGACCTTGCTCAAGAGTGGCCAGTCGTCGGCCGAGGGCGGCGGTGGGGACAGTCGGACCCAGCCCCGGAAGTGGGCCGGCAAAGCCAAGACGTTCGGTGAATTGCCGGAGGAGGCGAAGGTGCACATGCTCTCGAAGATCGGCGTCGACATTGAGTCCAACGGTGTGTCGGCCGACGTTCTGGACGGCTTTTTCGTCGTTCAGTTCTTCGTCGACCCCGACACACCGTTGCCGGCCGGTGCTCGGTCCTTCGACGTTCTCGAGAAGATGGCCAAGCAGCGGTTCGAGGCCCTCGGCGAGCATCGTGTGGCACCCCACGTGACCTCGGAGTTCGACTTCAAGTGCTTCGCCTTGGAGGGCGACCAGGTAACGAATGCCCTGGACGGCGAGTCGGCCAGCCTTCCGTCGCTCGCGGTCGCGGGGGACGAGTGGGTTCTGGACGACGAAAGCCAGCCGACGGCCAGGGTGTCATCGAAGGCCAACCCGCATTTGTCGTTCGGTTGCCGTACCTTGTTCGACAACTTGCGGTCCATCGATCCCCAGGCCAAGTGGGTCATGAAGAAGGACGAGTGAGTCAGTGTGAGTCTCTCGGGTTGTCGTTGTTCGAGACAACGGCAAGTTTTGCGGGGATCCTGTAGTTCGGCTACATTGGGGATGCACACGAAGCAAAAAGAACCCTTTCAAGTCGCTTATGTGCGTTTCAGCAGTTTCTAGGTGCATTTCAGGTGTTTTTTCAGCTTTTTTCCAGTGTTTTGGGCCGTGTTCGGTGATAGTGCCTCTAGCGGACACTTTTCTGCGTTAAGGGCTGCCGGGTTAGGGATAACAACCCTTTTCAGTAGATTATGTGCGTTTCAGCAGTTTCCAGGTGCATTTCAGGTGTTTTTCAGTGTTTTTCCAAGGTTTTTCGCGGCGTTTCGTAGTTCTAGTGTCAATCCAAAGCAAAACCAAGCCAACTCCGGACAGGCTGGCCCAGCGGCCCGGTGCTCGGCCTTTCGTTGTCCTGTGCCTCACTTTCTGCGGGCAGTGCCTTGGCGTTTGCTGCGAACAAAGCTGCCCTGCTCAAGGAAGGCTCGCCCCTTAAAGGGGCCCTAAGCACTTGCAGTTGCAGACCCAAAGACCTTGCACGGGCAGACACAGTCACGACTAGCAGGTTTTAGCCAGTAACCTTAATAATCAACCGTGATCATGGCGGTCGTGCGTGAAGCAGAGGCAGCCGGAGAAAGGGACGTTCGCGAAGCAGAGGCCGCGGCGGAAAGGGCGGGCCAGAGAGAGGCCGTGCTGCGGGAGAGGGTGGTTCGGGCGATCGTTCTGCCCTGTAACCCTCACGGGTCCTTCAAGGGGGAGGTGTATCAGTACACCACCCCCGTCGCTGCTCGCGACGGCCACTCGAGACCTGGTTTCTTCTTCTGGGTCTTCCGATGGATGATCGATTTCCTGGGCGGTGTGGGGATCGCCAACATGGCCGGTCGCTCGCGGGAGCCGATAGCCAATCGCACCGCAGCAGTCATTTTTGATGGCCTTTCGTCGTCTGATGAGGAAGTGCAGAAGATGGGCGAGGAGGCGAAGGAGGAGGACCAGGAGGCCATCCCCTTGCCGGTCGCGGACGACCACTTGACGTCCTCCAGCATGATGGCAAAGCAGGTTGCCGTCAGTGCCAGGAAGCGGAAGGCCGTCGCCAACGACGAGGATGTTCGCGAGGACGTTGGGGACCGAGAGGCGGAGGAGGAGGAGGAGGAGGAGGAGGAGGAGGAGGAGCCGCTCAGCAGGGGCGACTTTAGCCTGTCGTCTTTCGCTTGCATCTGTTGGCTAGGCCAGCTTATGGCGAAGGGCCCTCGTGCGAATGCGAAATGGAATCTGGAGCCGAATGATATCAAGGCCCGTGCAGAGGGCATTCTGCAAGGGATGCGAGACACCTTCTGGCAGGACGTTCGAAAAGGCTGCTTTCAGGTCGTGCGGGGCGAGGTGTCGGTCCAGTCTCTCGTCAAGGAGCACGGCCAGATCGCAGCGAAGATCTTCAACAAGCAGGAGCAGGTTGAGGTGGTGGAATCCTTGAGAATCCTGCAAGCTGATGCCGTTCGCAGGAGCTTGAGTCAGGACCGGCGGAGGGCCGCAGAGAAGCTGTTCGCTCGTTTCGTCCGGTCTCTCGCAGAGAGCATCGACGACACTGTCGGCAAACCGCTCTGGACGGCCACTCGAGTGGAGGCCTTGGACCAGCTAAGGACCCGGAAGTCTTGCAAATGGTGTTATTTAGTTAATGCAAGGCCTAAACCCTTAAACCAGCGAATTAAAACCATTTAATGTTGTCGATGTGCGTTTCAGCTTTTTCCTGGTGCGTTTCAGGTGCGTTTCAGCTTTTTCTTAGGGTTTTGGGTATCTTTTGTGAGGGATGGCAGTTCTTCCTTGCAGGACGGCCCGAGGGTATCGCAGATCGTCGCACGGCTGCCAGGAAGCCATTTTGGATGCGGGTGGACAGGCAGGCCCATCGATCGCTGCGGCTCTCGTGGCTCAGAGCCATTTCGCCTCGGGCTCGGGGGCGGCCGAGAGGAAACGACCCTCGAAGTTCCTTGAGGCCGAGCGTTTGTCCTACGTCGCTGCTGGTCGCTCGGTTTTGGCACAGGCTCCCGTTCTCAGCGTCGTCGCTGATGCCGTCCACGTGGGACAGGAGGACTGGCTGAACGTTTTCCTCTGCGACACAAGCGAGGACGTGTCTTTCCTTTGCCCGCCACAGGCAGACTGAGAGGGTTGGGCAATGTTTTGGGGAGGCGTATTTTGGCAAATTTCTGCAGTAAATGGGCCCTTATAAAACCATACAGTAAACCGCGCCTAAGGTCGACCATACAGCAAACCGCGCCTAAGAAACCATACAGTAAACCGCGCCTAAAAAACCATACAGTAAACCCTGCCTTTTTCGCTTTTCGCCAGGGTCCCGGTTTTGCCAGGTCCCCGCCATTCCCTTCTAGCAAGAGGCCAGGGCTCCCAGCCAAAACCATACAGCAAACCGCGCCTAGCAAAACCATACACTAAACCGAGCCTAAGGAATCCCCGGCACAACCATACGTCAAACCGCGCCTAATTTTTTTATAGCAAAACGAGTCCATTTTTGGCCAAAAATGGACTCTTTTTTGGCCTTCCGGGTATGAGGTCGGAGAAGGTTTTCACAGCATCCAAGCTTTGTGTCCTGACTGCAACTTCTGATCACAAAGGGAGCACAATCCTGCAAACCAACAGCAGTGCCGTAAGGTATGTATCGTCAATTGTAAGGCAGTACAGTCTATGTGTGCTTTTTTTGCGGGCAAAGTATCCAGCTGCTGTTGTTGCTTTGGGATTCCTAGCCCTTTAGAGAAGCAATTCAGAGCCCTTAGGAACTCTTCCTGTAGCAACACTTCTCTCCGGGGCCCCAAGCCTGAATCTCTATAGAGTTTGGAGTCAAAGTTTTGCCTGTGACAGGTGAAGAAAGGGACGGCCATCACGTCGGACGACTGGACGGACATGTGGCAGGGCCGCATCACGAAGTTCTTCAAGAAGGCCGGCTCCAAAGGTCGCTCGGCAGCGAAGACCACAGGCGGCTACAAGGAGCCGGAGAGGCTGGCCACTCAGGAGTGGCTCCGAGACATGTCCCACAGCCTCGCGGTCGTTGGCTGGGGCTTTTCGTCCTTCCGACGGACGAGCGAGGCAGGCCGGCCGAGGGTCTTGATCCTCTGCACGGATCAGGAGGCCACTCAGTTGGCGGCCGTGAACTACTTGAAGTTCGGCCGTTCGCTGTTCGTGGAGCACGTCAACGACCCGGCTCACCGTTCCCACAACGACGTGAACCTCGCGATGGCGGCGGCCGGTCTGCTGACGTTCGGCCTCGTGTCCATCGGCCTCTACAACGTTCGCTACGGCCCATGGAACAAGGGCACGTGGTTCGGCAAGGTCCAGACGATGGCGGACGAGATGAGTCGTTCGATGAGCCCTTCGGATCCGTTGCTGCTGACTTCTTTCCGGACATTCTGGAGGACCAAGGCCGTTCGCAAGAGGACAACAACGAGGCCGAGCGACGTGCTTTTCTGGAGAGCCTGCCAAACAGGTCGTTCGTGAGAAGCAAGGGCAGCAAGGCCTCGCAGTCTCGCTTCAACAGTCTCTCGCAGGCCCATGCGGAGCTCGACGGCGACTGGTCGGCCTTTTGCCTCGTGCTGGTCGCTCTCTGCGTGGCCGAGGGCTGGTGCACGACGGCGTCCCAGTTGTGGTCGCCCTCCGCTGGCATGGCCGAGACGACGACGGCCGCCACGACCAGGGCAGCCGCCAAGTCGGCCGCTCGCAAGGCTCTGCAGCAGCAGAGGGGTCGTTCGGTGAACGTCTTGCACGGGATGACGATGTTCGCCTGCAACCAAGACAATCGGTCGCTGGCCAGGTCCGTGTTTTTCGTGCTTCAACCGGAGAACGTTCGGTGCAGCACGATGCTCGCAGACCTTCGGGCGGCCGAGGCCACCGTGAGCCAGTATGCCAACTGGGCTCACTGGCAGTACATGGAGGTCGCTCGCGAGCATGTCGCCAAGCTGTCCAACCTGGCCGCTCTGAAGCGGATCGGCCTTGACATGTCCTTCGAGCTGCCAAAGGAGGAGGTTCGAGAGGACTCGCTGGCGTGGCAGGATGCAGTCGCTCACAGAGTCGTTCGCCTGACACACCGTCTCTTGCGATATCGTTGCGGCAGCCAGCTGGGGTCCACGAACGGCTGGGGAGCGTCGGCCGGCTTGCTGCACGAGTCTGCCGCCCTTCGACAGTCCAGCCTTCGCTTTCTGGAAGAGGTGGATCGCACGGTCAAGCGTGTGCAGGCCGAGGGGTCGTTGGAGGCGAAGCTCCTCTTGGACGGCCACTCTGCCACGGCGCCCGTGATGGCCATGTTGCTGTCCGAGTTGCGGGAGGCGTCGTTCGTGGAGGTTCCGCCGGGGACGTTCGAGTGGCTTCGCCGTTCGTGGAGCGGCCTGCTGAACTCGAAGCTCGTGGAGGACGCCAACAAGTTCAACGTGAGGCCGAGCAGCGGAATGGCACTTCGAAGACGTTGGGTCGTTTGGAGGGCTGGCACGGTCTCTCGAGAAAGAAGCTCCTGGAGCAGTATCACAGGAGAGAGGTGCCGAGCGGCCGGATGGCGACCGTGCCCGCGAAGTTCGAGGCCGATCCGTGGTTCGTGCGGCCTCAGCGGCTCCGGACGGAACCGGGCAGTTCGTCGGCCGCCGTTCGCGAGGAGCAGGAGGAGGGCCTCACGGACCAGACCTTCGAGGACGACCTTCTGAAGGGCGTTAGCCAAGCGAGGACGTGGGCCTCTCCCACACCTGAGTCGGAACAGGACAAGCTGGCTGGGTTCTCGCTGCTCACCAAGGTCGTTCGGCAGAACATGGACTGGTCCTTCGTGGAGAAGGGATGGTGGGCAGCCTTGGCTCCCGAGGGACATGCCTTGCAGTTTCCGACTGGACCACCGTTGTACGTGGTTCGCAGCTACAAGCGAGCGGCTCTCGTCTGGCCCGGCAAGTTGCAGACTTCCCCTGCCGGAGACATCGTCCAGCCTGGACCTGGAGAACCCACAGGTCGGATGGGTGCACCTTTTCGACGAGGCCGTGGACGTTCTGGACTTGGCTGCGACCTCGCCACAACGTGGCCTGGCCCACAAATCTCTGGTTTTTAGTATGGATTCCGTAGTAAATATTCACTTAGGCTATAGCTTCCTAAATCCTAAACCCCAAAATCCAGCACAGGGAACCCTTTAGAGTCGTTTATGTGCGTTTCAGCATTTTCTAGGTGCGTTTCAGGTGCGTTTCAGCTTTTTCGTAGGGTTTTCTATACATTTTCGATATTTTAGATTTTACCCACGGCGTGACAGCAACGAGCAGAATCACCCGAATGTAAGCTGCAGTCAAAAAGCGCATTCTCCGCCAGGTCTCGTGTCTCTCGGTGAGACCCGGGCCATGGGAGTTGTCTTTCGGGTGCAGGCCCGATGTTCCTTGCTTCAGCACCACGAGAAGTTCGGCTTCGCAGGCGTTCCGGAGTGGGGTCTGCGACGACTCGCAGAGGTGAAGGGATGGCCGGCCGAAGCTGAGGAGACTGGCCACGAGGAGGACGACCACCTCGCCGTGGTCTGCCTCTTGTCTCTCCAGCCAACTCTGACGAAGGACGACGTGGTCAATCGTCTCCTGTTTCGCCAGGACGTGGCCTCGTGGTCGGGCGAGTTTGGGGAGCTCGATCTGACAGAGGTCGTGCGAGACACAATGTTGGCGGCCGACCAGGACGTCGCCCTCCAACAACTTGCGAAGCGGAAAGCCGCTCGCGAGACTGCCGTGGAGATCCGGAAGCGGGTCTCGCGGACTTTCGAGGCCGTCGCCAAGACCTTTGCCAGCCGACCCGAGTACAAAAAGGCAGCGGCAGCTCGAAAGGCCAAAGAGAAGCAGGCATCGCAGCAGCAGAAGGACCATGCCGCTGCGATCAAGCGGTGCTATGCCGCCCTCACCTCGGACATCGACAAAGCCGTGAAGGTCGGCGTTCCCACAGCCGTCCGAGTGTATCGGGACGACTACAACGGCCGCTGGCGTCTCACGTACAGGACTGTCTGGGCTCAGGTCACTCGCAGCATTTCGTGGACTGCCGTGGGCAGTAGGAATGCCGCAGCGGAAGCCGTTCGCCAAGGCTGGCAGTGGGCGGAGACTTTCGACGGCCTGCCGATGCCGGAGGAGGCAGCAGGCCTGTTGCAGAAGTTGGCGGCTTGAGGCCTGGATTTCCGGACGTGCGATGGCAGAGAAGGACGTTCCAGAATCCACTGGGCCTTTCCGGTAGTTTCACTGCGGAGTAAAGCGGCCGTCCGAGCAACGAGTGCAGAGCTTGCAGAAACGGCGTTTTGTCCTGCTTGCTGTAGCGAAAGCCAGAGTTCTTGAGAAGACGTCTTCCACAAGAAAGCCTTGCTTCGCCCAGGTCATCGCAGTTCCGTTCAAGCTCCGGCCGTTCCTGCTCTCTGTTCCAAGCACGAGGCCGCCACTCCGGGAACTTTCGCTTTGCTGTGTGGGAGTGAGCCGTTGCAGTTAACTTCTCTAAGTTTTTTCAGGGTATGGGGTTTACAGGAGGTTCGTCTGCAAACAAGTCTTGGGCCGTCACACTTGCAGCAGCAGAAGCAGTATAGCAGCAGTTCTTGTTCGCTCTACCCTGTTTTTCTGCAGCGTCTTCTTTTCAAACCTCGTCTAGTCACTATAGGAGAAGCACCATGGAACGGGCCACTTTGGCGGAGACAGGTGGCGAAAGGCCCGCAAGCGCCTGGGCCCTGTTTAACTCGTGGGTCGCTCGGGAAGGCCTGACGGTCTCTCGGGCTGCGAAGTTCCGCATTCGCGGGAAGCGGATGCTCCGGGAGAAGGCAGCGATGAAGCTCAAGTGGATCCTGGGATTGTTTTATTTAGTTAGCAGATACGGCCAAACATTGACTAAACCATGATATCTTTATATTGCTTTGGATGGTTTAGGGAGGTGTTTAGGGTTCCAAGTCAGTTTGACACCTTCGCAAAGCCCTTGAAGCCCTCTTGGCCTACTAAAGTTTATACCCTAAACCACAAAACCGAACCTTTCGAACCCTTTCAGTAGCTCTATGTGCGTTTCAGCTTTTTCCAGGTGCGTTTCAGGTGCGTTTCAGCTTTTTCCTAAGGATTTTATACAGTTGCAAGGAGTGGGCTTTTCAAACGACAGGCTTCAGACCCAAGGAGGCCCAAGGTTGGCTTTTGAAACTGTTGCATCGGCCGATAGGGCTGCACTAAGACTACTAGGGAAGTCCTCCGAAAATTTTGTCCCAGATTGCATCTAGAACCAATTGAAGGTTCCCCAAGGCCAGCAAGCTTGAGCAGCCTTAGCAAATCTAGTGAGCAAGGGCCCTACTACTTTCCCCTTGCCGTCGCACACAGTTTAAAGCTTTCCGAGAATCAACCTCCCTTGCACTGAGGAACCACCGAAAAAGCAAGGACATTCGGGAGAAGTTCGCGGCACTCGCTCAGGCGAAGTACGAGGACAACCGAAAGAAGGCCGAGGCTTACAGAAAGGCCCAGTCGTTCGGCGATGTTTCGCCGCAAGTCGCTGCCGACGAGGCCGAGGTCGTTCGAAAAGCAGAAGCCGAAGCCCACCTGGAAGCTGACCTTGCCGTTCGGGAAGTGCAGGCGGACACCTGGACCTGGACTTTGGGTCGTTCGCTTCGTGACTTCAAGCCGGTCGGCCGTGGGGCGAGCGGTGAGGTCTTCTTCGCCACCTTCGAAGGCCTTCTGGTTGCAGTGAAGCTGACAAAAGGTCGGGGGCTGCGAGCGGCAGCAACCGGCATCGACGTTCAGGAGGAGTTCGCCGTTTTGACGGCCCTGGGGCAGCACCCCAACGTCGTTCGAGCTTTCGCCGTTGTCACGAGCTCGCTGGGCCGGCCGGGCTTGGTTCTCGAGAGGGCGTCTGAGAGCCTGCATGCGAAAGCTCGCAGGCTCAAGGACGATCGGCTGGAGAACTCGCCGGCCGGCAGGGCCTCGCTGCTGGGACTTTTTTCGCAGTTCGTCCTCGGCCTGTCCTTCGTGCACGGGCGTTCGGTCATGCATCTCGATGTGAAGCCCGCCAACATTCTCGTGTTCGATGACAAGAGAGCTGCCCTGGCCGACTTCGGCCATGCAGAGGGGGTCTCCGAGAACGGTTGCTCTGTGGTGGGCGATCGTGTGTACACCCTGGACTTTCGCTGCCCGGAGTGCCTCATGGCCGGCGGCCAAAAGGCATGGGTTGCTGGCGTAGCTATATCCCTGGAATCCTTAAAACGTAGGCTCAAAGTTTCTTTTCTGATCCCTGCAATATCTTTAAGCAGTGCCTCTGCCGAACCTTGCAGCTAGCCTATTTCGGACAATGTAACAGTTAATAGGAAGGCCCGAGTTTCAATCACAGAAACCCTGCCAGGTTCGTGTCAAGTTCGCCGCCGACGTCTGGGCGGCCGCAGCCACGTTGTTCGAGGTGTGCTGCCCCAGAAAAGCTTTTCTCAGTCCCGCCGGGGACGTTCGTGCGGGAGACCGAGGAGCAGACAGCAAAGGCCATTCGGGAGATGGCCACTGCGAGGAGCTTCAAGCTGATGCCGTACGACCAGACAATGCAGGACGTCCTGGAGAAGACGTTCGTGCCGGCAGAGAAGCGACTCTCGTTGCCGGGCTTGCTTCGCATCCTGGACAAAGAGCGGTCGGCCTCGCGGTCCATCGGCAGGCCCGCCTTCGGCGACTGACCTTCCTGACTGGTCGTCTTGGACGGAAGCACCAAGAGTCGTTCGAGAACAGCTTCTCGAGCACGGTTCTTGGAGACTGTCGACTCTCGGGTCTCTCGCCCGGCGGATAAAAAAGGAGCTTCTTCAGTCAAGCAGTTGCTTTCACACAGTTTGTTTCCCTACGGTCGCTAGCCACACGTCTGCAGCAGTTGCCCGAAGCCCCGTCCGCCCTTCGACAAAGTTGCTAGCCGTGCTGGGCAGGTACTCCATCGACGATGTCTTCTTCCTCTGGCAGAGCCGGCGTTCGGCGCCGGGGTCAGACCTCCGTCTGGCCCACTCCCCGACCCCTCCAAAACCCCCAGTTCAATCAGGAACTTACGTGAATTGCAGCATTTAGTTCACCTGGAATTGGAGTGCCCCAAAACCCACCGCAGAAAACAACAACTTCGGAGTGGGCATCCTTCAGGCGACATAGTTTAAGTGTGAAACCCTGGCCACACCACCTTTTCCCAGCCCCCTCCTCTCCTCACTGTTCTCCTAGTTCGACCATTTTTCTCCACCAGCCCGATAAGCCCCTACAGTGCAGCACAAAGCCCACTTCCCGACAAATCTCTAACACAGCAAAAACAAGCATGCAATCAACAAGAAAAAGTGACCCCTTGATAGCTTTGCAGCCAGCGTGTGTGCCGCCTCGCACAATATTCGTACATTGAAAGATGTTTTCAAGACCTAACAGTTCTCGGGCCCAAAAACAACAAAAAGGCTTACTTCCACACTGTTTCACACGGTCACACAGGATGCCACACAGAACTATTGCACACATCATCGGATTTCGCACATTTTCGCCTGCAGAAGCAGCAACATCTTCAGGAATTCGCCCACTCCGACAGCTTGAAAACAACATACAGAATGGACACTTCAAAACAGCTGAACATCAGTGCACTTTTGCCTCCAGTTTTGAGCTGTTCCCATCACACGACCCCCTAGGCCAAAACCTGTCACCTAACCGGGCCTACCTTTAACCTGCCCTATTAGCCCGCCCAACTATAGTCTGTGACCATCCGCCCTGTTTGTGCCGTGCGATCGTGTTCAGAGCCAGTGCAAGGTTTAATCTACCAGTTGGCGGTGTTTGCCCCCAAACCTTAGATCCTAAAGCTTCGGAGCATGGGAGCACCCCCCGCCGTCGTGCTCGGGCATTCTACTTGGAGGTTCATGGGTAGTTATACGTGCGGTTATAAGCAGGGTAGCCCCAGTTGTAACCCGTATTAAAGGACTGATAAGAGTAGAACTCCACTTACAAGTACCCATGAACCTCCACTCCAGAAGCTGTGCCTGGCCGCCAGTCTCGCGATGCTGAAGGCGATGTTGAGGAGCTGCACATACAGGACGAGGGGGTCGGAGTTGAGGCTTAGGCTTAGGGTCTATAGGGTTCAGGTTTAGGGGTTTCGGGTCCAGGACCTGAACGTGTTCTGCATGTTGGTATAATTGTCATAACATAAAAGCAAGGTCTAAGTGGCTTGTCGTGTTCTGCTGTAGGGCTCAGAGTTTGGAGTTTAGGGTTTTGCAGCGTCTTGTTCTATTTTGCTAGAGCCCGTCTTCTTTTCCGGCTGTCCTCCACGCGCGCCTTAGCTTTCACGCCAAACTCGATTGATCCTCCGGCGTGTGGAAATTGCGCTCCAAGGCCCTAAAAGATTGAAACCTAAAGCCAAAAATCTAAACTTGGGGATTACCGGGCTCAAAAAACTTAGCCAAAGGCATAGCCGGTTACATGCATCCGAAGGCGCCATGAAGCAGATCTTGAGTGTATCGCAGCCTGCAGAGGGCGTTCCGGACAGGGCCAAGCGGACCGTGAGCGTTCGTTGCCTGGCAGGTTCCAGCTTTAAGCTGGAAGTCGATTCTGCCGAAACGGGGCGGGAAGTAGCCGAACGGATCGCAGCCGCAGTTGGCCACCGTGCAGGTTTACTTGTTCTGACATCCAGTGGCTGCGTCATCGATCAGTGCCAGCAGCTGCTGCATCAAGTCCAGCACGACGAGATCTGGTACGTGGTGCGCAGACTTGGCGCGGGTCTTGTCGCGATGCTTTGGGAGCACCTACTCCAGAAGAAGACTGTGTCTGATGTAGCTGCCCTGAACGAAACGATGTCACTCACATTTGGCGCCTCTTTCAACCAGAGCTTGGCGGGCATCCAGCTACCCAGCAGCCTGCAGAGTTTGACGCTTGGCCACTATTTCAACCAGAGCTTGCAGGGCATCCAACTACCTGGCAGCCTGCAGAGTTTGACGTTTGGCCACTATTTCAACCAGAGCTTGGCGGGCATCCAACTACCCAGCAGCCTGCAGAGTTTGACGTTTGGCGGCCAGTTCAACCAGAGCTTGCAGGGCATCCAACTACCTGGCAGCCTGCAGAGTTTGACGTTTGGCCACTATTTCAACCAGAGCTTGGCGGGCATCCAACTACCCAGCAGCCTGCAGAGTTTGACGTTTGGCGGCCAGTTCAACCAGAGCTTGCAGGGCATCCAACTACCTGGCAGCCTGCAGAGTTTGACGTTTGGCCACTATTTCAACCAGAGCTTGGCGGGCATCCAACTACCCAGCAGCCTGCAGAGTTTGACGTTTGGCGGCCAGTTCAACCAGAGCTTGCAGGGCATCCAACTACCTGGCAGCCTGCAGAGTTTGACGTTTGGCCACTATTTCAACCAGAGCTTGGCGGGCATCCAACTACCCAGCAGCCTGCAGAGTTTGACGTTTGGCGGCCAGTTCAACCAGAGCTTGCAGGGCATCCAACTACCTGGCAGCCTGCAGAGTTTGACGTTTGGCAACCAGAGCTTGGAGGGCATCCAACTACCCAGCAGCCTGCAGAGTTTGAAGTTTGGCCACGGTTCAACCAGAGCTTGGAGGGCATCCAACTACCCAGCAGTCTGCAGAGTTTGGAGTTTGGCGACGCCTTCGACCAGAGCTTGGAGGGCATCCAACTACCCAGCAGCCTGCAGAGTTTGACGTTTGGCCACGGCTTCAACCAGAGCTTGGAGGGCATCCAGCTACCCAGCAGCCTGCAGAGTTTGGAGTTTGGCGACGCCTTCGACCAGAGCTTGCAGGGCATCCAACTACCTGGCAGCCTGCAGAGTTTGACGTTTGGCCACTATTTCAACCAGAGCTTGGCGGGCATCCAACTACCCAGCAGCCTGCAGAGTTTAACGTTTGGCCACGGCTTCAACCGGAGCTTGGAGGGCATCCAGCTACCCAGCAGCCTGCAGAGTTTGGAGTTTGGCGACGCCTTCGACCAGAGCTTGGAGGGCATCCAACTACCCAGCAGCCTGCAGAGTTTGGCGTTTGGCGACGAGTTCAACCAGAGCTTGGATGGCATCCAACTACCCAGCAGCCTGCAGAGTTTGACGTTTGGCTGGCGTTTCAACCACAGCTTGGAGGGCATCCAACTACCCAGCAGCCTGCAGAGTTTGGAGTTTGGCGACGCCTTCAACCAGAGCTTGGAGGGCATCCAACTACCCAGCAGCCTGCAGAGTTTGGCGTTTGGCGACGAGTTCAACCAGAGCTTGGAGGGCATCCAACTACCCAGCAGCCTGCAGAGTTTGACGTTTGGCCACGGCTTCAACCGGAGCTTGGAGGGCATCCAACTACCCAGCAGTCTGCAGAGTTTGGAGTTTGGCGACGCCTTCGACCAGAGCTTGGAGGGCATCCAACTACCCGGCAGTCTGCGAAGTTTCACTTCACGACATTTTTGTGTAGAGACGTGGTGAGCAGTGATGTGCTGGTTTGGCTTCCTCTTCAGGTTCTTCTGGAGGGTCCTTTGAACGTTTCCCCTTAATGCTCAATGGTTTTCGTTTCTGCGAACTGGTGATGTCTTTTTGTCAAAAACTACAACGACCTATTCGAGCCCTATAATTTAAATAACCACTAAGGTCATTTGCAAACCCCTTGAGTCAATAACAATAAGAGTTTTGGTTTGGTTAATAATGCTTCCACTACTACTAAGAATAACAACAATAGCAATGATAACTAGTAATCCCTCAGGGTCCATGTACCCAAATAAAATAATACATACATTGGCCCCAATGTGCCTATATAGGGACCTCTTTACGGCCAAAGTATACCGAGCCTGCCTGTTTGTTCGTTTACCGGAGTAGGTAACAGGGCTTAGGGTTTAGACAGTAGGCGGTTCGACGAACTGATATGGCGTTGGATTTATCATAGGGATCCTTTGGGGTGTAGGGGGAGGGGGGGTAGGGGGCCTTAAGGCCCATAATAAGGACTAATAAGGCCTATTTAAGGAAATATAGTCCCCTACACCCCTCCCCCCTACACCCCTAAGGATCCCTATGAATTTAGGGCGATGTGGAGCGCTGGTAATTAAGTCTAGCAACCCACTCTCGAGGATCTGTAGCACTAAGCCACTTAAGAAACAATGGGGTAGTACTTAAAGGATCATGAGACTTAGTAAGTAGGGTTATAAGTACCTAAATTAGGGTTATAAATAACTATAACTGTAGTTACCTCACTTATAACCCGACTTACTAAGTCCCATGATCCTTTTTTAAGTAGTCATCCAGGGTTGCATTGAACACCCAGCTCCTGGGTTCAGGACTTGGCAACATAAGTTTCAACGATGTTTTGCTTCGCCAGGGTGGGGCCTTACCCAGAAGCCCACCTGCTTCTAAAATGCGCTAGAAGGCCATAGTCTTTCCGGTTTGAAAGGGTGTACATGCACAAGAACTGTAACCTACCAAAACGGCAGCTGGCATTCTAGCGTCACTGAGACTTACAAATCCGTCTACAAAGTCTGGAAAATGCTGAAACCCCATTCGTTCACGTCCTCTCCGTCCTGCAATGTAAAGTAGATCAATGAAGGACTTTGGGGTTGCAAGCAGTGGCCGCAAATATGACGAGTCTGGGTTCAGGATGTGGCGAACGGTGCCATGCTGACCGCAGCAGCCGTTGCAAGACGTCGGCTAGCCAGAGGGCCATCAGAGGAGGGTGATTGAGATTGCTTGCAAACCCTAAATGGGAGTTTCCGAAAATAGGGGACCCTAATATAGTACCCCAATATAGTAGGATCCTTATTATAAGGACCCCAAATTATGGTACCCCTAATTTTCGGAAACTCGCAAATAAACCC